CCTCAAAATTTCCAGACACCCAGAAAAAATCGTCGTCATTTAGGTCCTTATCCGGTGTGTTTTTTATTATTTTCTCACGTCGGCGGCGTATTCTGAGGTAGTATACCCAGCCGTCTTCCTTCGAACCAATGGAGTATTGGTGAAAGATTTCGGCCAGACCAAGGTTGAGACCGGCTTGCCGGTTTAATTCGGCTATTCCCATTATTATGCGGTATGAATTGGTGGATAGTTGGGTAGGGCATAGTCTAGTTTGCCTAAGAAACTCGCAAATTAAATGTTGGACTGGAAATCGTAGTCCGGTTTCAATTATGGATAAGAGGGTGAAGGGGACAAAGCCTGCATTACCCCAAGGAATGACATCCTTTCCGGCTAGAATCGGGTGAACGTCATCAGGTATATTATAATCTTTTCTGAATTCGGCTAGGCCGCCCGGAGTGTCTACTAGATACCAATACTTCCCCATTTATTATATAAGTTATTAATAAATTAGTTCGGTTGGAAGAATGTGCTCAGTAGCTCGGTTGAGCGCGCAGAAGAATGTTAGGGCAACCAAAGTCTGCAAAGTGGAAAACAAAGGTGTTAAGCACAGATCGCAGACCATGCTACAAAATCAAAACAAAGATAAAAAGTCCTACTTCGGCCTATGGGGGATGCTGTATCTCGATTCAGCAAAATGCTTGGTAGCTCGGATTGAGCATAGGGTTCGCAAGATCGGTTTTTGTATGAGGGTGGTTATCTCGGTTTGAACTATGGGTTTTGTTACTTCGATTGAGCCTCTAGGGGCAGCTTTCTGAGTTTGGTTTAGAAACTAAGAAAGCTGGCTTAGCCCCAAAGGCTTAGCTCGGTTGAAGGCCGAGGTTCCTAGTTTACTAAGTTCAAACTTCGTTCGGTGAGCTTATCTCGGCTAAAGTGAATCAGGATTTGGTAACTTACTGAAACTATTGTTATTTCTATGAGTTCTAGTTCGGTTATTGTCTGAATTGATCTACATATATAGCACAAACGGAGTCCTAGTTCGATTGGGACAAGTTTCTGGATCAAAACTGCGTTCTACAGGTTGCTTCATGATATTCATAGTTTTCTTATGAAGATTCTTTCCAGAAAATACAAGACCCATGAAAAGTAGAAACAGAAATGTGTTTTGTATTTTACAAAAAACACACGAAACAAGCTACATTGAAGTAAATAAAAGCAAAGAAAGATAGACAGATTTCGGTTGCTTACCAAACGAAGACGTAGAAACACTGAAGATGGGAAAAATGGCAGCAAAGTCATAGTCTCTTCAAGTGCAACAGAAAAACAGCAAGAACACGGGATGGAGAGAGAAGAGATGTAATAATGGAGTGGTTAATCCAAAATATAGAAGGTGTTTTGTGTAAAAGAAGGGACGAAAGAGAAAAAGCGGGAACTGTTCAAATTTTTCGTAGTACGAGGGCAGCGTGACAGCTGCCCCCAGCCTATCAGAGCCTGCCACGTGTCATTGGAAAGGGAAGCGTTTCAGTTGCTGTGATTGAAGCGACGTTCTGACCAGATAAGGATAGTTCGGCTTAGTGCTAGCTCGGCTCTGCAGGCTTAAAGTATTAGCTCGGCTGGAAAGGCTAAAACTTAGCCCGGTTTATAGACAGGTAATCCCTATCAAGCTACACAGATGGAATTAAGGGGCAATTAAGAGGGTAATTTATATAGAAATTGGGCCGAGCTAGGTAAATGGGCTATTTTGGGCCGCAGTACGAAGGGCCGAGTAGAATGGCCGTATAAGTTACTCCAGTCTTGTGAATGTTTTGGAGTTAGTCCGGTCCGAAAGAAGATTGTAGTTACTGGCCTAGAGATGCTTCGGAGTTATACCGGTCCTAGTGTTGAACCGGTCTTGACATGTTAGTTCGGTCTGACTATACCATGAGTTGTACATGAGAAGCCGAAGTAAGAATAGTATGGGGAAGAGCCGAATTAAGGATAGTTCGGCTCACTCTGCGGCTAAGCAGAGTCGTGTTTACTTCGGTCGTGTGGTAGTTCGGCCATGGTAAAACCATCTCACTTGATTTAAGCAGTGAGGGGGGTGTTGAGGGATAAGCATTATCCTTCAGGAGTATGAATCTTAGAAGGACTCGGCATGGAGGAATAGAAGTCCTACTAGGATTGTGCCACGCGAAACCTATAAAAGCTCACAAACATCACCTTGGGAGAGGTAATACACAACTTTGCTTTCTGAATTCACAGAGCTTTGTCTATTTGTCAAGTTTGCTGACTTAGGCATCGAAGAGGTTTCCGGCACACACCCGCCGGCTAGCTCACGTTTTTGTTTTCAGGTGATAAGGCGACGTCGTACGGAGGAGCGCAGATTTGGTCAACAGGATTATACGAGAAGGTTTATTTCTTTCCCGTACAAATAGCCTTTTAATTAGATCATATTTTATCAATGGTAAATATGATTTTAAAAGGGTCCATCTTGTCTCATGTTGAGATCAAGACTGGACCCGTCCAGTCCTGCCTATGGGCCCATTTTTGGGTCCCGTTTAATAATCTGAACCATTCTATGCGTAGAAATCGTCGAGTATTATATTCCTGTAAAAAATCACGTTGATCGGATATCAATGGCTATTTAATCGGATTAGAATTCCATCAATCGTTTATTTTTTCACTATTTATTTTTTTCAATGCAAATCTAATCTGATCAAATAGCTATCGATATCCGCTCTATATGATTTGTTACGGGATATAGTATTCAACGAGTTTTACACATTGAACGGTTCAAATTATCAAAAATGAGCCCAAAAATGGTCCCATGGGCCGAACTATACAGGTCCAGTCTTGAAATCAACATGAGACAAGCTAGACCCTTTTAAAAATAAATTGTTAAAAAAATGTGTTTTGAACTAAGGGCTATCGATATCCGTTTAATATGATTTTGTATAAGGATAAAGTATTCGACAAGCTCTGCATATTGAATGGTTTGAATTATCGAAATGAGACCTGTTATAAGCCTCATGGGTCCAACACTAATAAAAAAAACTATAAATAAAATTAAGTGAATAATTTTTATCTTCCACTAATCAAATTATGTAATTCTACTACCATAATTACCATCACATAATATCACTCTTATATTCAATATCAACGGGTCAATATCCACTCGAACATATAAAGGTTTTAAAGACTAGACTTTCTTATGTAAAAATTTTATTAAAAAAATATTAAGAAATCAATTCCAGTCAATCATATAAATTGTCACTAAAAATATCACTATTAGATACACTTTAGTGACATTTAAAAAAAAAAATAGTGACAAAATTATAAAAAAATATATTGCTAATAACTATACAAACTAATTTCATGCTAAAAGGAATTTATTTTAAAAAAGCTTGTGTCCCAGAAGTATAATAATTCATTACTAAATATATAATTTTATTATTAATAATATAATAATGATACTTTTAACCATTAAAATAATTTTCGCCATATATTTATTTCACTTTCAGGATAATTTTCAAAACACAAATTCCAGTCACCTGAATTTTTCTTTGTATTAATTAAAATAGTGTAAACTAATATTGGACTTAGGTGTTCGATGAAAGTGTGGAGGGTTTGGCGGTTGTTGGGGATGTTCTTGGGTGTTCGATGTATGGGTGGTCGGAGGTTGTTGGGGTGTTTCGGCGGTGTTCTTGGGTCGTCGGAGTAGCGTAGGAGGTTGCTGGGGTGGTTGCAGTAGCTTCTTCGGGTGGTGTTCGGCCTTGGATGGAGGGTTTTTGGCCATGGGAGGTGATCGGCGTTCTTGTTCTAGACGGTAGCGGCGTTTGGTTTTTCTTCGGAAACGGACGCATGGGAACTCAGAATGTTGGCATGGGAAGCAGATGTTGTGCCTTGGGAGCTGTGGGGAGTGTTTGCTAGGCGTGGGAGACAAGAAATGGTGTGAGGATCGAAGATTTTGGGGGATTCACAGCGTTTGGGTGCAGTGTAGTGTTGTGTAGTTAAGATATATTTAATTTTTTTTTTTCATAATTATAAAATGAGATCGAGGGTTGGTTATGTAAATACGAGCAATACTAAATCAGAAATGGTGGTTGAATCTGCTGTTAGTTATGTTCTGCTTTTGGACTGCTATGTCTGGTTACTGCTGTTATGCTCTGTTTGCTGATATGCTGGGCTGGTCTTCAATCCCTTCTGTAATTGATCATGTTCATACTACATATAGAGAACATCTGAGCAAAATTTACAAAATAAGCACGTTGTTGAAGAACATGTATTCTACGCAAGAAATACGTAACTTCTCAGGTAAGAGGTTGTCTGGTATAGGAGGCATGCTGTTGTGTGCTGCTGTATGTCATACTGCTTTGCGGTCTGCTCAATGGTGCTGTGTGGTGCAGGGGAAGGGGTGCAGCTCATATGAGTGCAGGTCTGATGCTGTATGATACTAATGTATTTTGGGCTGCAGGGGAACTGTATGGATTGTTGTTTGTTGTATGCTGTTTGTAGTATGCTGTTTGCTGTATGTTGCTGCTTCAGGTCTGCTTGCTGGCTGTCTTTGAGGTCTACTGAATGTGTGGTTGCCGGTAGTTCTGCGCTCAGTTCTGCTATCAGGGGTGCTTCTATCAGTTCTGCTAGTTTTGCTATTAATTCTGCTACCAGTTCTGCTCTATGGTGTTGATTTTCCAAGTTGTCTTTCTTTAATTAGGCTGCTAGTTTTGGGTTATCTGTTTTGTTTAGGCTTGGTTAGTCTTTACTTACGTTAGGTTGTTCTGGGTGGTTGTGGTTGTGGTTGGTTCCTCACCAACTCTTGATGGTGTGCTGCATATGATTGGGCGGTCTTATTAGTGCCAACCTAATTGGGATTGATTTGGCTCACTATGATGCTTTTGCACTCATCCTCTTTTCCCTTTATTGATGTATTAGCTTTCTTCTTCATCAATAAAGTTCTATTTCTTTGCTGATCAAAAAAAAAATAGGAATAGTTTATCCTTTTTGAATCTCTCTGTAATTCCATATTTTTAATGAAATTTTCGCTTTATTGATAATATATATAAAAAAAAAAACAATATTGGACTGATTTACATTAACTTTGACTGTCACACCTGTGATTTATTCATACTAGCGCCTAACTATTGATGAATTTCCACACCAATATATAATGAGTTGTCCACCCATAAATAACACAAAGTCTGATTAAACATTTATAATATAAAATGAAATTCAATCTTTAAGAACACCCGTTGGACTTTGCAATACATCCTCGAGGTGATTTGGCATGGCGAAGCCGCTTTTCCTTGGAGAGTATTTTAGCCAACCTATCCAAATTAAGCAAAGATAACAATAAGAATAAGTTTATAATTGTATTAAATTTTTAATATAAATTATTAGATACTACAAGAATAATTTTTAAAATACCTTATGAGAGCCTCCTCATTAGTGCCTTGATTAGAAGGTTCATTTAAACCAGTCTGTAAATTTACCCTTGAAACTGGCTTTTTTAGCAATCCCTCACCAACTTTCACAAGATTTTCCAAGTTCTCCTTTGTTGCAACATCAACCGATGATAGTTGCCCGCTTAATGTGTCATCCTGCATTTTTTTTTTTGCCAATTAATATCACTCGAGCCAATTTACATCTAAATTAAGTGCCCATTTGATAAATGCCTTTCTTCATTTTTATTTTTATTTTGGTTTTTAATGTACTTTTTCTCAAATGATGCAATCAAACCTCAAGACTAAAATAATATTGACAATTTTCTCATCTTTTTTTTTTTTTTTTTTTTAAAAAGTTGCTAAAAGAAAAAATCTCCGAAACAAGGTCTAAGTTGCATGGGAAAAAAAAAAATCATAATATATATTTATTATTGATTCTTTTTTTAGCATTTATTCTCAACTTGTTTGTATGGCATATTGAGCTCGGGTGCATGAATACCTGAATTCGGAGATAATTATTTTCAGAATGAAGGGCTTGAAAAACTGTAGAGATGTGAAAATCCACCATATCACCACTTGCTTGTGTGAATACATCCACTAGTGGAGTGGAACCATCGTTACTTAACCACCCCAAAACACCCCACTTAGCTGCTTCATCTGCTTTGTATTTGTCATCGGCTTTTGATGTACCAGTTCCAAGTGATAAAACAAGAAATCTGCCATATTCTGTTGGCTTTATCGGGAAAAAATCACAATTCCCCCGATTAATCTCCTTTGTCACTTCAGCAATTGCAACTAGTGTCTGCAACCAATAAATATAAAAATTTTGACTGAATCAATAAAATTTGATTTTTCTGATAAATTTTTTCTTTGAGAGAATTACAAAAGCACATTATCTAAGTTTCAATTAATGCCAAAAAATTATGTAAATACCGGATTATTAGCTGCTACTCCACCATCAATAAGATTAAATTGCCTCGCTTTCCCTAAAAAGTCCTTTGTTTCAAAATAATGTGCTGGAAGATAAGTTGGTGCAGCTGATGTTGCAATGCATATATCTGAGAGTAAGGCATCTAGACTTGGATTTTTCTTCACCTAAACAATACATACAAAGTAGGTTAACACATATAGACTAAAGAAGTCAACTTTGGTACATAGAGTTTTTAAGTTTTGGGAACAAATGGTACGAATTTAACACATCGATATTTTAAAACCAAGAATCAAAGACATAAAAACCTCATAGGTGGAGAAGATGGTTGGTTGGAGTCGCTTGATGTCAAAAGTTGGAACTACAATATTAGTCAGTGTCTGGTGCAACCTCCTATTTCCGAGCTTCTCTTTAAGAAGATGATGAAGATACTGGCCATCATATTTGGGTCCTGATATGGCTCTTATTACTTTTGTAGCATTAGCAAATGGATAGCTGTTGCTTGAAAATTGGTGACATGTGTTAACATATAGTAATGGATTTATATTATGCATCAAGCTTTATATATATCATTTTTCATATATATATATATATATATTATCACCTCTCCTGCGGGAAGATTTTAGGGCATTGATCAAGATAGAAGGCCTTGATGTCTTTTGCAGCATACATGGGCCTATTCTTTTCATTTGGGGCAGTCAACATGGCTGTCACAAGACCTCCTGTGCTTGTTCCTGCAATCACATCAAAGTAGTCTGCAATTCTTGCATCCTCACCATCTAATTTCTGCACAAGTACAAGAAGATTTTGGTTATGATTTAACAAATTATTTCTAAAACGAATAATTATTTAATAGTCACGGAGCGTGAACTTAAAATGTTGATATGGTACTCCAAGACCAATAAGAATAATAGTAATAGAGACAACTAGACCCACCCTGGTCGAGTGGGGGCAATATCGGCCCATCCATCCCTTTCAAGTGTATCCCTTACAATTATCATTAATATTGTTTTGCTCTCTTGCCTTTAAAATCATACAGCCCTCATTTGAGATTAACTAATTTAGCATGGCTTTTTGATTTTTTTTTTTTTTTTTTTTTTTTTTTTTTTTTTTTTTTTTGTTATTGTTATTTTAATCTAGCTAAAAAAGTTGTGTTTAGGATAAAATTTGACTTTTTTTTAATTGATTTGATAATTGTCAAAGAAAAAGTAAAATGATTATAATTTGAATATGACATTTTGTCTTATTGGGTAAATTAGTATTTTTATCTTTATTGACTAATTTAGTCAAAATAGCTCATGCCAAATGAAGCTATAAATAAATAAAAAAATCTAAAAGGGTGAAAGTGAAACAATTTTTTATAATTGAGTAGTTCAACTATGCAGTTTTAAAGTTGAGAAGAAAAAAATAAATAAATAAAAGTGATATTCAATGAAAATTGAAAGAGTAAAATATACTGAACCCTTTATTCTACCTGAAGCTCAGACTCCAAAAAGTTCAGGATTGTTCCTGGGATAATCCCTCTTATTCCACCTCCATCAATGCTAAGAATAGTGATTAGATCACCATAAGTTGGAGGTTGCAAAGGTAATTTTGCTCCTTCCATGCGAGATTTATTCAAGAGAGAAGATGTGTACAATACGAGAAAATGTTTGCAGACTCTTTAGAGAGCGTTGAATAAAAAAAAATTGTAGTTATAGTATAGAAACTTGAGAGATAGAAATAATAAAAATTCCAAAGTAGTAGTGAATTATCTTTGATAAGATGAGGGTATTTATAGACTCTTTATTTGTCATTAAAAAAAATATATATTCAATGACTTCATTTTTCATGTTTTGAGGCTGAAAAATATGGTGATGAAATTTTCTTTGACCCATTTGAATGTCAAATTCAAGTACAGGTAATTTGGTACGGTAGAACCCCTTCTTTTTTTACTTTAATTTTTTTTTTTTTTCTTTTGTAGAACGTTATACATGAGAATTATAGGATAGACCATGAGAGAATCGTGGGTTTGAATAATTGGGTGAGAGTAGAAGTTTAACATAAAGGAATCAATAATGGACCTCTTGGATATCATAATGAAACTTCTAGCGAGTGAGTTTTTTTTTTTTTTTTTCTTCTAAATATTTGAAACCCTTAATAAAATTTTTATAATTTCACTCACAATGATATGAAATGATAGGTATCAATTTTTAATTTGTTACATATTCAATTATGTGAGACTTTACTTTCTTATTACATCATTGACGGTATATTTGAAAATCTCAAATGTAAGTCTCTAATATTACTCTTTTTTTTTAGTATAGGGCTCATGGGCTGTTCATCCTCAGTAAATATTAACTATGGCAATGATAATATATAATGGTGTTATTATTAATCAAAAATCTCATATTAGAGTGGTTGAAACTATATGAGGAGAGACAACCTAATCCCATTTATGATTTACAAAAATACTTGAGATTCCAAATTTTTTATCAAACACTCATATATGTGTGGATCTCATTTGGATATAAGTCTCATACCCATGTGAGTGTTTGGTAGAAAATTTAATAAAAAAATTTGTATCCCCAACATTGCTTTTTCTATTGTCTAGTATCATCGCGTAAAATAGTATTACTGATACATTTATGTTTGGTTTCTCTTAAATTTAAATATAAATTTGAGAGAACTTGAAGTGTTCATAGGGCTCATTATGAGCTCCATTTTAATTATCTGAATTGCTCATTTTGTAAGGCATCAGTGTATTATTCATGAAAAAAATAGATCAATCTAATAATTGTATTTTCTTTGAAAAAATATGTAGTTTATTTTCAAAAATATATTTGTCGTCTATTTTTTTTATAAACAAACACGATAAAATAAAAATGTTACAATTATCAAACTAACCAAAAAAAATTCATAGATGATATATACAAAAGGGCCTACAAAATAAAATGTTCGAGTCATCAAAACGAAACCCGTAGTGAGTTTCATGAGCCCCTCAAATTCTCTCTCCCTTTCTCTCTATTCCTCTCTTCTCTTTTTCGCAATATCCTTCCCTTCTCTCTCCATATTCACTATCTCACTCGCTACAATAGTGCACCCTTTTTTTATTTTTTTTGATATCTTTTTTTTTTTTTTTTTTTAACTCAATATTTAGCCTATAAATCAATCTCACCGTCCATATTTATGGAGGTCCAATTAACAGCCACGCACTTAGCAGCGGGGGACCAATGCCACAGTGGTGCACTTACCAACTCCATTGTAGTTCAAACTGAGACTCGTCAAAAAACTTGAAAATTGACACGCACAAACAGTTCCATTGTGGTTGCTCTTAAAACACTTTTCAATGGCATAGCTAAATTTGTGTTATATAACACAAAGGCTTTTCTTTTCTTTTTTTTAATAAAAAATAATATTATAATTTTTTGGATTAAACTTTTTTATCCCAATTAAGTTGGCACAAGAAACGAAAGTTTAATAATGTGCAAGTCACTGACAAAAAGTTTGTGAAAAACGAACTAAACAGATACAAATCAAAATCTAAATCTAAATAAATAAATAAATAACATCCACTTCTCGTGAGCAACATCTAGTGAGCATGTCCCATGAAATTTAACCATCATAGCAATGGCCCTTATTAAGGAAGCCAAACTCCCCCACAACAGCACCAAACATCAATAACCATCACTACTTGCATCCAACAATAGTCCAAAGCAGCAAAGTAAATCACCACAAGCAAACCCTTTTCGCATCTGCACCAAGGCACATGTGTGGGGCTTTGTTGGGTAAAGGCTAATGCAAGCATTTCAAAAATTAATTAGATTGTGTTTGTATTATGAATTTATGTAAGATTTTGAAAATAGAAAGAAAAAAAAAATAGATGTAATATAGATGAAATATAATTCTTGTTTTATCTTTTAAAAATCAGTTAGACCCTAAATAAATGAATAGTTGAAACTAGAGTCAGTTCAACGTGTAGGCAAGTTAGTAGTACTTTGCTTGAAGAAAGAAAAAAGTATTTTAAAATTTTGTTCTTATCTAAAAGCCTACACAAAAACAAAAACAAAAAAATAAAAAATAAAAAATAATTTTGAGATTGTCAAATGTTCCCACCTCTCCTAAGAGGCCCATTTTAATGTTGGGCCTTAGCCTTCCAACCTTGAGCCACTATTGATTGAGGCCTGGCCTGCTATGCCACAAGTGTTACCATAGCAGTACCCGAGTAAGAAAATAGAAAAAGGGCTTGATTTGATGGTTGTGGCGTCTAAGTAAGAATCAAATTCCTTTTGGCGAGAGTGCAAATCATTTTGAATAGCTACCAACAAAATAAATAAATGGTTATCCTTAAATTCAAATCTTTTTTTTTTTTAAAACCAATCGATAAGAGAATATTTATATATTATAAATATCAAAACAATATAATTTTAAAAGTTCAACAACATAAATCTGCAAATTCAACCCCAATAACTAAGAGCATTTCCAACGATTCACTAAAAAATTCATCAAATTTGAGTAAAAAAATGACAAATTCCTCTATCTGATATCGCCTACTCCAACGGAAAGATTTGGCTTTTCATCAAATCACCAGTCGACCGGACGGACGATTGGGAGGACGACCGGCCGGTCGACCAGTCAATGCAAAATTTTCACTTTGAGTTTGTATCTAAAATAAAAACCCAGAATGCTTCTTCAAATGCTTCCTCGCCCCATGGATAGCAATTGACCTTAATAATAAATAAAAAAAATCAAATCGGTATCACAGTTAAGAAATAAAAATTAGAGAATAGAGAGTCCAGAAAGAGAGTGAGAGTTTTTATCAGAAAACCCAGAAAGAAAAAAAACAGAGTACATACAAAACAATAGCAACAGACATATCCAAATCTCCTATTTCATCTACTCCTTGCAACACAGCATGATCTCAGACTCCACATACAATTCAAGAATTAGTATACAAGGACCAAACCACCAATCTATCACATACCCATAACAAGAAGGAGGGCTGTGTTCGGAAGCAAGACGATTGGTGTGCTTTGTGGTAGGTGGTCTGTGAATGCGACCTCTGGGACTGTTCAGCCATGGCAAGGACCTTGTGGTGGGAGTGAATGGGTCGTCGAGATTGGACTGAAAAAGGCCAAGAAAGTGAGGCAATTTGTAATATATTGAACACCTACATCCTCAAAGTATATCAAAATCCAGATCTGTTTGTTCGATTAACCGGATGACCGGAGGGACAATCGACCGGTTGTCCAGTGGGTCCTCGCCCAACGTTACTGCACAGTAAACTGGTAAACGCTTTCCAGATCCTCAGTTTGAGGAAACATTTGACATTTTCCCAATTTGATACTGTTTTGGTGAAATCATTACAGCACAAAAAGTATGTATTTTTCACCAAATTTGAATTTGGCGATGCATCTGATTAACTATTGGAGATGTTCTAAGATTTCCATAATAAATAATAATAAAACAAATAACCAAAATAAATAATCAATTCTACTTTTGGTAAGAATTAACTCCTTAACTTTTTAATTGAAAAAGTATTGGTCAACTGAGATAACTCAATCAGCCCATAATCTCGAACTTAATGGGTAAAATTTTAATGATAACTTAAAATGTTGCATTAAGAAAATACATAATTTTGTTATATGGTGTTGAATTGAACTGTTTTTGTGGTTAATAGATATGGGCTCTTTTGTGGTTAGTAGCTACTTTTCAGTTTTTAACATATTTTTGGTCACATCATTTCTTATATTTTTTTATATATATTTTTTTTAAAAAAATCAAAAAAGTCAAAAAGTCAATTTTTAACCATCTTTCTAAAACAATCCATTGTGATTTGTTATATGGCGTTATGAAATTATGGAATTCATCTCCCAAAGTATAAATATAACAAAATTATGGGTCCCAAGCTGCAAAAACATATCTATACTTCTATACTTATTATTAACATTTGCATCCATAAACTTTTTTAAAAAAATAAAAAAAATACAAGACTTGAACTTAAGACAATTTACTTAATTTATTAAAAAATATTTTCATCACTTAAACAACATACAAATTATATTATGAACTCAAAATTATAATTTATATTTTGAACACATCCATCGGATGAACTCATATCTTAATACAATATATTAGGGTTGTGCAACGGATTCGCCGACCCGTCATACCCGACCAACCCGATCCGACCCGACCAGCAACGGATGTATGCGCGACATGTGACGGGCAGGTACGGGCCCAATTTATTTCATTTTTAGGGTTCGGATCGGGTGACGGGTAATCCGTCGTTTTAGTCACCCGGGCCGACCCGACCATGTCTTGGTTACTTTTTTTTCTTCCTTTTTTTTTTTTTTTTTCTTTCTGCCCTTTTATGCCTCAGCAGGGCTGATATCCCTCATTTTGCCCTCTTTTTCCTTTCTGATACAAGAAACGGCGATTGATCTACACGCAGCGATCGATCTACATTGACTGAGGTATCTCTCTCTCTGCTTTCCTCTTCTTCTCAGACTGAGGTATCTCTCTCTCTGCTTTCCTCTTCTTCTCATCTTCTTCTGCTTTCCTCTTCTTCTCTTCTTCTGAGTCTAATCTGTTTTTTTTTTTTCCGTTCCACTTCTAAAACTACAGACTGAGGTCTCTCTCTCTCTCTCTCTCTCTCTCTCTCCTTCTTCTTCTTCTTCTTCTCTGAGTCTAATCTGTTTGTTTTTTTTTTTGGTTCCAGTTCTAATCTTTTAGAGTGTGTTTGATTGGGGAGATTAGGAGGGAGGAGGGTAAAATAGTCTTTTGTTCATTTATCCTATCCAGTCCGTCCAACCAAACGTTGGATTCACTGAAAATAGTCCTATCCAGACATCTAATCCCATGAAAAAACAAACACAGGATACATATCCAATCCGACCAAATAGTCCGGGGGATTCAGAGTCCCAAGATTCAAGTCCGATGGATTCTAATCCCCCATTTTCCAGTCCGTCCAATCAAACACACCCTTAGAGTCTAAGACCACCTCCAACGCTTCATCAAATCTGGCATCAAATTTGAAATTTGGTGAAAATGTGACTTTTTGGTGCTCCAACGATTTCACCAAATCAATATCAAATCGAGAATTCACCAAACCTTTCACCAAAATGAGCACACGCTCCAGGTTTCAACAAATCACTGTTTGTTACCGTTGGGGGAGACAAACCAATCGACCATAAAACGGTTCAAACAGTTCAAATAAATAGGTTCAAACAGTTTTAAAAAAAAAATTTGCCTGGTCGACCGATTGTCCCGGAAAAAGTTCAGACAGTTCAAAAAAAAGGTTCAAACAATTCAAAAAAAATATATATATTTGCCTTCACCGGTCGACTGGCCGGTCGACCAACTGGTTGTCCTGGCGCAGATTTAATAAAAATTTGATGAAAATGAACCATTGGAGCACTCGATATCAGATTGAGAAAAAAGTCTACTCAGATTTGATGAAAATTTTGGTGAACCGTTGGAGATGCTCTAATCTATTATTATTATTATTATTATTATTTTGTTTTGTTCCAATTCTAAAACTAGAGACGTGATTAGATTGATTGACAGTGTTAGGGTTCTGCACACAGAGAAAGGAATACAGAGAGAAAACCACAGAGAGGTTTGGTTTATTTTTCTTGTTATTTGCTTCTGCAGTGGATTTTGTGAGGGACTTCATAGAAAAAATATTAGATTAATTTTGAGATCTGTGATGGTAGTTTGTTTGTATAAAAATGAAATTTTGAATTAATCTGTTATGTTCTGAAGTTCACAATCTGTTTTGATTCAGAATCTGTTTTAATCTGTTCACAATCTGGGATTAATCTGAAGTTCACAATCTGTTTTGTTCTGTTCTGAAGTTCACAATCTATTTTTCTTGTTATCTGTTCTGTTCAAACTTTGATTCATAATTTGATTCACAGTCTGTTTTGATTCATAATTTGATTCACAGTAAATTAGTGATCCTTCCTCAATCCTTCTTCGATCCTTTGATTCATAATTTGTTTAAAGATTAAACTTTGATTCATAATATATTCATAATCAAAGTTTAGTGAGCATCAAAGTTTAGTCAATGAACATTAAATTTTGATTCATAATTTAGTCATAATATATTAATAATCAAAGTTAAACTTTGATTCATAATTTAGTTTAATTAATCTATTCTACATCTCGTTGTTCTGTAATTTAGTCAGTGAACAAATTTGTTCTGTAATTTAGTTTAATGTAGTCAGTGAACATTAAACTAATCAAACTGAACATTAGTCAATGAACATTAAACTTACTGATCCTTCTTCAATTTAATTTAGTCAGTTTAAACTAATCTCATTAGTCAGTTTAATTTAGTCAGTGAAAATTAGATGTGAAAATTGCCCAGGTTTTGGATGATAAGTATTTTTTTTGGATGATGAAAATTGCCCAGTTACTTACACTGCTATTCCAATTACATAGGCATATGAGTATTTTTTTATGAACTTAAAGAGACTAGTATGTTAAGTGCCCAAGTTATGTGTAAGTTTGCATTGCCCAGGTTTTGTGAAAATTGCCCAGGTTTCGAGGAAGTGCATTATATAGGGTTCTTCAGAGATGGTTGATAATGAAGAAACTAGTTGTGAAGGAGTGAAGGAGGAAGAGTGCTTGATGAGGAGAACACTGGTTGCTCATATTGATTATATATATATCCAGAAGCAGCACAAGCCTTGAATGAATCTCTCTTTGTTTGTCTCTTAATTATAATCACTGGCTAGGATTCTAATATTTGTGTTTATATATCAGTTAGTATAGCATAATAATAAAGAATAAAACATGTTTCCTGTGTTTTCTTTGTTGTTGTTGTTGTTGTTGTTGTGGGTATTTTAGTTCATTTGCTACTATTTTTGATTGAATATCTTTAGATTTTTCTCAAATTTCTAAAAGATGTAACCTCAGATCAAATATTGGGTTTCTTGAAAAACAACCAGTAAAATCTTTAATGGAAACTATTATTAATTTCATTGTTTTTTTTTATGTGAAAAATTTGTAAAATTTTCAACCGCCAAATCGATTCGTATCCATCCGCCAATCCGCATTCCCGGATTGGCGGACGGATGCGGATTGATTTTCTCCAATCTGACGGACGGATGGCAGATTAAAGGTTCCGTGGTCACAATCGATCCGCACCCACCCTACAATATATATTCATTCCCGCAAAATTGAAATATTATAAAAGTTTAGGGGCATTATTGCAAAATTACCCACGCTATGAATAAGCTATTTTTCTCTCTGAAGAGTACCAATTCGAGCAGCAATCTTGCTATCAAAGAAATCGAATTCCGATCGGAGCGAGAGAATGTCAGGGATGGAGAGATTGCAGAGAATGTTCGCCGGTGCCGGAGGAGCGTTGGGACACCCGCCGCCGGACTCTCCGACTCTCGATTCATCGGAGCAAGTCTACATCTCTTCGCTTGCCCTCCTTAAAATGCTCAAGCACGGTACATTCTCCTTCTTTCAATTTTAGGGTTTCTCTACAACTATAGATATGTATAGATGTATACATATATACATACAGTTATATAGGGTTATGTGTGTGAACCTGATTAGGGTTTGTGTTTCTATTGTGTTGTATTTGGGGGGATTGGGATTGGGATTGACAGGTAGAGCCGGAGTTCCTATGGAAGTGATGGGATTGATGTTGGGTGAATTTGTGGATGAGTACACTGTTCGCGTCGTTGATGTATTTGCGATGCCGCAGAGTGGTACTGGTGTCAGTGTCGAAGCGGTCGATCATGTTTTTCAAACTAATATGCTTGATATGCTTAAACAAACTGGAAGGTAATTCACTCTCATTCTTCGTTGTTAATTCTTATACCTAATTACAACTGAATGTTTAATTCTGGCATTAGAAGAACCTGCTCTTATCTGTGATTTCTTTTATTTATGTTAGGTTTATAGATTCGGTTGTGTACAAGAGGCTCCCCTTATGTTTTTTGCCTCCTAATTTGATATAGAAATTCTGTAACTAGGGTTTAACTGCCCATTAAAAAAACCCATTGATTTATGCACTCATTGCTTGTGTAATTGGCATTGATATTCTGCTTCCTGCACTCACTGCTATAACGACATGCCGCGACATGCTTTCAAACATTTTCGTAGATGTTATAGTCAGCTTGTTGTTTTGCTTGGTATTGCAGGCCGGAAATGGTGGTAGGATGGTATCATTCACATCCTGGATTTGGCTGTTGGCTCTCTGGTGTGGACATCAATACTCAACAGGTTGTATTCTATCTTCTTTTGTTGTTGTCGATGGTAGTAGTGGTACAATTATGTAGTTGTTTTACTACTATTAATTTATATAGCGATTTTTGCATGGTACTTTATTCTTCTATTATGTTTTTATGTGTTCGTTATCGTTGGTATCATTATTCTATGATGGCGTTTTCCTATGACCTTTTTTGGTTGTATAAAATAAACATTTTTGCTTTTTCTTTGCCAAATTTAACTTGTAATTTTCCATTCTGTTTGAGCAATTTTTTTTTCTCCTATTCTGCGTTTTCTGTTGTTGATTTGTTTCCTTCTCAAGTTATACTTGCAAGAAATTCTTGGGCAGTTTACCTTTTGCATTCAATGTGGAGTAAATAATTTTGAATGTTATGTCTGAAGATGCACTGATGAAGAAATTTCTATGCTGGTCAGTCCCATAGGAAGGCAGTCTAGATTCTATAGTTGAAGGCCTATCACAAAGGAAGTTTACCTCTGATGAGAATGATCTCCATTCATGAAGCTTTTTTTTGTTGATTCATTAATTTAGTTTTAACTGCCTGGGATCCTGGGATCTAAGTTAGTTGAATCACAGGAATATGGGTGAAGGACTTGCAAGCTATGTGTCAAGGATATGATGATGGTTGACAATGTCCAGTATAGAGGTTGGATATTGAGTCATGGTAGAGAACCCCCTCTCCCTCCAAAAAAGCAACCTAAACAATTAGGAGAATTGAGTATGAGGTGTCAAACATAAGGCTTATGTGCTTACACAACTTCTGGGACTTGTGTTCGTGCATATGCAGATGCACATTTAGCTAATCACTTGTTTCTCTTGTGCAATTTGATTGGCGATTTTGGACAGGAGGGATTGTGGTTGGTGCAAGATTCAAATGTACTTTGCTTAGGCTATGATTACATTGATGTTAATGAATTTGGATTTCCTGATGTTTTACTTGTGGAACTAATTCAACTTGGAGAATGATGTTTGTTAGAAGGGGAACTTATAATTTCTATGAATTAATTCATGCAAATTCTATGCTTATGAAGTTTTGATGCTTCAATTAGACAAGAATTCTCAGAAATTTTTCATGCCCCCTCTCTCGCTTTGTCTACCTGTGTGTGTGTGTTTTGAATTGGGGTAATTTTGTTATCATTTATTTCTGTCAAGAGTCAAGACCACCTTAATTATTGACATTTTGTGATATCATGCAGAGTTTTGAAGCTTTGAATCAACGTGCTGTGGCAGTTGTGGTGGATCCCATACAAAGTGTTAAGGGGAAGGTGGTCATTGATGCCTTCCGCTTAATTAACCCACAAACCATGATGCTTGGCCAAGAGCCAAGGCAAACAACGTCCAACCTTGGACATTTGAACAAGCCATCCATTCAAGTGAGTGCTGAATGAGTGGTGCCTTTGTGTTTCTGATAGCTGAGGTGTCACCCCTGAGTTTTATCCTCTAATGGCAATTTGTTTTGCAGGCATTGATCCATGGGCTGAATAGGCATTATTACTCAATAGCCATTAATTACAGGAAGAATGAACTTGAGGAGAAAATGCTACTGAACCTGCACAAGAAGAAGTGGACTGATGGCTTGACACTGCAACGATTTGATACCCATTCCAAGACCAATGAGCAGACTGTTCAGGTAAGTGAAGCTTTTTGCGAGGCTATGAGTTTCATAGTCTTGTGTGTGTGTTGTATTTGGCACCTTTGCATTAAGGTGCAGAGGCTACACATTTTTTGTTTTTTTAACCTCAATTTTGAAAGATTTTACATTTCCCTTCAATTTTCTAGTGTCATGTTTCTTATTGGTTATATTATACATGATATTGGTGGCTAGTCCGAATTGTTTACACCTGTTGGTTATATCCTCTGTTAATGGTGCTCAGTGCAGTTTATGGCTGTAGAAAATTCTTTATCTTCAGTCAAAATGCTGCTTATCAAATCCCAGCAGTATTACAAAGTGTTCCTAGTTAAGTACCATAATTAGTACCATATGATTTAGCTCAGTAGTTTAGAAGTGCATACTGAGACTATACTTGTGTACGTGTATTTATAAGACACTAATATGGAGATCAGTCATGACATGGATATTATGTTTCTATTAATTTTTTTTTTCTCTTTGCGAGTTTGTTTTCCAATATAAACTAGAAGGCTAAAATCTGAGCCTTTTAATTTTGTAGTCTGGAAGAGATAACTCAAAAATCAACTTTGGATGCACTCAAATCAGTGCATTATTACTTCCCTAAAACTTCCTTATTCTTCATTTCATTCGTCATTGCATTTTAGTAATGTACTAATGTTGCTCCCTTGGGGTTGAAGTTGTTCTGTCAAGTTGGATCGTTTTCATAGGAAGTTTTTGTGTGGACAAAATTATCTTCTCTGATAAGCTAGACCACCCATGGGTAACTTATATAGGTTCCTCTATCCATGTGGATGACCTATTCCTCGGTTTAGAATAAAGTAATTTGCTTCATGCAGATAATCATTTACCATTGAGATTTATTTGGAGTCCTTGAAGCCCATTAATTGATGTTGTTTGAGGATAACCTCAAGTTCCCTGTGGTTGAACTAGAAAAGTGCAATCTATGAAAGCATATGCTTCTAATAGGCGGCATTTGCAAGTCAAGCACAAAAATTGAAGGAATTTAGTAGGAACATACCATGCATGTCTAAAATTTTCATCAAAGGAAAATTGATGCCTTAAGTATTGACAAAACAAATTAAGCATGCTAGGGGTGTTCAAAAAACTGAATCACTAGATGAAACCGACCATTTTGGACCAAACCGAATGATTATGGTCGGTTTCAAAAAGCCTTCATGGTTAGCTCAGTTCTTATATCTTATATGTAAAATTCATCAATGTTTCGGTCGGCTGACGGTTTTATTCCTTGGGATTTGAATAAAACCGAACCACCCGAAAAATTATCAAATAGTCTTACAGGAATTAAATACCTTCACTCTTCTTCAGGTGATAATAATAATTAAAACTCTGAGTCTCTGTATCAATTACAAAGAAAGTGGCACATGGCTCAAAAAAAATGTCAGACCTTTCATTTCCCTTTTGTTTCATATTTCAAATGCAAGAAAAAAACTCAATAAATATTTGACCAATAGTAAGGTTGTCTAGTGTATCGAACCCTATAATACCGTCAGGTTGATATTTTCAATGCATGGATGCATCATACATGTTATATATATAAGATACATGATTATATCATCATACATACATGATGTTATGATATACATGGTGTTTGGGATATACATACTACTACACAGAGTTTTATGTATTGTTCTTTGTCTGCGCATTTTTCCTTTCTTCTCGCAGAACTGTAATAGCCCTCTCTCTCTCGTTCCTCCTCTCTCCAAACGCTCTCTCTTTCAACCCCTTTCCAATTCTGATGGATTGTTGCGTCTAGATCCTTTCAGTCATCAACAACCTTTGTCCAGATCGCTCTGTTTTGATGCTCTTGGATTAGATCAAAAGGCTATGAATGTCAACACCATATCACAATTGTCTTCTCACTTTCTTCCTATTTCTCAAGTCTCTGTTTTCTTTTTTTTCTTTTTTTTTTTTTGAAACTATTTCTCAAATCTGTCTGTATATTTGATTATGCGAGAAAGGCGGAAAAGCTGTTGAAGGAAAAATCACCCGGGGCCTCAACCGATTCCGACCAACAAACTGTATGGCCCGATGCTTGCGATTTCGAACTGTCCATGGTCGAAATTGGATGTTCAATTCTTCCACCCGTAATGATCGGTTCAGGTGGTGAGTTGATAGTGAAACCGGTCCAAGCCAACCCATGAACACCCCTAAAGCATGCAATAAGCACTTTTAATGTAGAAAAGTGTAGTTGAATTTGGGATATAGAAGAAGTGCTAGTAGTAATAGATGCAATTTGCAAATAAAATTTACTTATGACATGTTTGTTGAGGTGCAGATTCCAGTGTCTCCCTCACATCACATGTAAACCTACATATGAGTGAGAGGGCTGTAAATGCGACCTTTTGGGCTGTAGAGATAACCTTTCCATAGTCAAACGTATATATTTGTCCTATATATGATATTTAAGGGTAGTCCAATGCATGAGGCTCATGCCACTGCAGTGTGTCTGGGAAGAAAGATGTACATAGACCTATTATGATATAGAAATTATTAAAATGTACACAAATATTGCAGCATCCATGTCCTTTTTATGAAATTTTGGGTTAGCTGTGCCTCATATCTTGCTTCACAGGCTACAATTATTAAAATGTGCAATTTGTCAAATAGGCATCCCGATGTGATAAAATTATGACTTACATTGTATTCCTTGTGATGTGTAGGAGATGCTAAACCTCGCTATTAAATATAACAAGGCAGTGCAGGAAGAGGATGAGTTGCCACCAGAAAAACTAGCAATTGCGAATGTGGGAAGACAGGATGCCAAAAAACATCTCGAAGAACATGTCTCCAACTTGATGTCATCAAACATAATTCAGACTTTGGGCACCATGCTCGACACAGTTGTGTTCTAGGGTTCAGTGTTTGATTCTCCACAGGATTGCATTTTAGTGGCACTTAAAAAGTTGAAAACAATGTGGGTATGATTGGAACTCCTTGAACTGCTAGAAATGTTTCATTATTTAGGTAGAATCATAGGTGGAACAAAGCTTATGTGGGTAAGCAATGCTATCATGAAATAGTTTTTAATCTTATTCAATTGTCTCTTCCTGATTTGTATTTCTAGCTTGGTTTGATTTGAATATTCTCCTAAGCTACATTCGTTGAATGTTTGTATTTCATTAAAGAAAGTGACAGCTGTGACATTTAAGAAGTCAATTCATTTGGCTTTTAATGGGATTTGATTTTGTTTTATGTGGGTGGTTTATGTAGCTGTTAGAAGCTCTGGTATTCTCTTCTAAGCTGTATAGGACCAGTAGCAAAACCTCAAAAAAGGTTGAATGTGGCCTTTCTTTTGAGGAATTAATTTCATGTAAAGTTGTCTTTTGCATTTTGGATAGTTTTTTAAATACAATTAAAAAGTATAATATTTGTGAAATGTTTTTTAAAAAAATTCACTAAATATCAAAAATATTTTTAAAAAAATACAAAAATTAAGGCCAAGTTTGGGTAGTTTAAAAAAAGTCAAAAAGTCAAAAAGTTACTCAAAAAGTTAAAAAGTCATTACTATTCACCAAAAGTCAACAATTACGGCTGCACAATTTCCAATTCTAATTTTTCTCTACAAACTAATTTTTACAATTTTTTATTACACATTTTTCCATAAAAAGTCAAAAAGTTAATCCAAACATTTATATTTTCAACCTCAACTTTTTAGTCTAAAAAGACAAAAAGTGCACTTATTTAGTCTTCCCAAACTTGGCCTAAGTATATTTTTGTATTTTTGTATATTTATTGATTTTTTACAATATTTTACTTTGATTTGGTGCATTTAGAAGTAACAAATTTTCTTAAAATATTAAAAAAATATTACTAAAAAAAAATCAAAATATAAAAAATTCAATATTTAGAAAATTGGAACTAAACAGGGTGAACAGTATGATGATGGAAGGATTTTCCTACCTGTGGTTCGAACTTGATGACTTGCAAAAGGTTACACCTGCTGCAAATTTTTAGGAGGATGTAGGAGTCAAGTTTATTTATTTTTTATTTAACAGAATAAACAACATAATCATTGATAATGCTAGTTACAGTACAAAAGGAGTTAGATTTGAGTAGTGGATCATTCTGACTATCGGTGAACTGTGGATTTAAGCTGATAGTGTTTGTTGCAATTGGTGATTGCAAATCTGATAACATTTCTGTTTTTGTGTAGTTCTTGTTGTGGAAGAACCTCATGAGATTCAAGTTTATTTATTTGTAATGAAATGGATATTTGTGAATATGGAGTTGGAACCAAAATGAGTAGAGCATGAGACTGACTTCTCTCCAAGTTTTTGAAAAGAAAGCAATGGGTTCGGTTCTGTCGGTGAAGTTATGCGAGTTTGGACTTGGGTGATGTGGATATTTTCTTCTTCTTTTAGATATTTTTTTTTTGAGTAATGTTACGTCTCCACTTTTTAAACTAAAAAATTCATCTACAATTAATGTTTCTTTTTTGAACAATGCTACATTCTCACATTTTAAACTTACAAATTCATCCACAAATGATGTGACAAGAGAATAGACCCTATATCATTGAATATGTAGAAAATTAAAAATTAACACTCGTGATGTCACATCATTGTATATATCACAGTGAAAGTTTTTTTAAAATCTCAAACATTTTCTTTTTTCTTTTCTTTTTTTTTAAACTGCATCTGTTAGTCAACATAGCAGAATATAGAATTTTAAACTGCATCTGTTAGTCAACATAGCAGAATATAGAATGCTAGTAGGGTAACTAGTTGTTGGGCTTGATTTAGTGGGCTTGACATTTGGCGGTTAAGTAAATTTTGTTAACTTTTTAATTATTATGACAAATGATCTGTTTGATAATATAATATTGTTTTATAATTTAAAAAAAAGGCATGTAGAGTGGTAAATTTTCTAATTCATTGATTAATTACTAAAGTCTATTTTATTGTTTTAAAATAATAAGAAAGTCTTGGATTATTACGTAATATTATTTATATGGTATTTTAGATGCATAAAAAATTACAACACATAACAATTAGGGATGTAATCGGTTTAGGATAGTCAGTGTTTGGGTAAAATTTTACACCGAACCGATAAAATCGGTTCTATTATATTGAGAATTGATATAGACCGAAATTTTTAGTGAACTACACCAAACCGTACCAATTCAAATGATTCGGCTCAGTGCAATTTTCAATTTATGACATTTCAAATTTGAGTTACTTCTCAAATTTGTAATATAGTAAATAATTTATATAAAAATATTGAATTAGTCATTTGTACATTACTTCAATATCCAATCCAATCCTCTCACAAAAATACAAACAAAAGAATTAATAAATACTATGTGTTGAAGCTTTTACTAAAGCAGAATTAAAAACAAAATATAATCTGAAAACCAAAGTCACCAAAGTAAAACCAAAGTTTAAAACTATTATCCCATAAGACTGAATCACAAGTTTATCAACTCAAAATAAAAAATTAAAAACGACATAAACATCTAATATAGCAAAATTTGATTCAAGCACATATGAGTGGCAAACTAACAACTTATCACATTGTCAATATCTATTATCAAACTTGAAATATTTAAGAAAAAATAAACAATTAAGTGAATCAACTGAACTTTATACTCAACCAACTTCATTATTTATTTAATATGCAGAATTTTCGGTTGATTTCGGTTTAATTCGGTGCACAAGATACGTAAATCGGTACCAGGCTGAAAAATAATTTTAAAACCTCACAAACCGATTTATATTAAAAAACCGATCAGATATTGCCAGTTTGATTCGGTTCAACGAGTTTAGTCTATTTTTTCGATTTTTTTTTTACATCCCTAACAATAATATTATGGAATTTCAAGATTATTGAACAATTATCATTATTGAATAATTATTTAAGTGAGAGGTATGAACATTAATTTTCCCCAATTTAGATTTTTTTTTTTTTTTAAACTTTAAGTCAATCTTTTGTACTTGTTATAAAATATAAATGCCTCAAAATTAAAAGGTCGGTTAGTGGTTGTGTCAAAGTAGAGTGCTTGCTTTTGAACATGCCGATGTTCTTTGGGCTCTGGATTCTTCGTGTGGCGCGTCCTTCGGGACTCCTCTTGCCTCGGTTCTTCTCGTCCGACTTCCCTGGAAGGCCGGTGAGAATGCCTTCCGCTCCTGGTATGCTGAGGGACGTCGGGGATTGTTTTTCTTCCGCCCCTCTGGGCGTTGGTTGCTGGCATCGGCGTATCTTGTAGCGGGTATGGTGGCTGCATAACATTATTTTGCATCATGAAGTTGACGACTGACTGAAGGTCTGCCAGCTTATTCGCTAATTCTTTTACTTCCTCATCCCTCCGTAGGCACCTGTCCCTCCATACCTGGAGGTTATCTTCATTGTAGTACTTTCCTTGGTTTGTCCTTTTTGACGTGTCGCCTTCCAGGGTGACGTCGTTCTCTTTGTGACCCTGGTCGCGGGCTTCCGTATTGTGGTTGTCTCCTTCAATGTCAAGGTCAATTGGTCTGCCATTCCTAGCGGGAGCGTCATCCCCAAAATTTTCCTGCTGTCCGTTACTGGCCATCTATTCTTCCTTCGTTCCCACAGACGGCGCCAAATTGTGTGGGTAAAAATCCGACCACGCTGCCTGCTTAATGATCAACTGGAGAGCACAGGCAGAATAGATGGCTTCAGCAACCTGAAACAGAAAGAAAAGGCTTCGGCGGTGGTTCTTCCACCCGGGGGCAATATAGTCCCGTTTGGTAGAGCTGTGGGAAAGTGATTATAACTTATAGCATAACATCTTATAACTTATAACTGTGAATATAAGTTAATTTTTGACTTATAAATTAAGATTCTCTTCTCCCACTCAAAGAATAAGTTGATTTTTGACTTACAAAAAGTTATGAGCTGTATTATTAAGTTGAACCAAACACATCAAAATAACTTAAATTAAACTAAAAACTAAAATAAGTTGAAAATAAATCTTACAAAACATAGTATAAAAAAAAATAAAAGACAAGTAATATATATCTCAAATCCACAAACAAATAAGCCAATTTGTTGAGCCGTTACATCTCACCAAAGAGTTTTTTTTGTCACTTATGTCTAGTATTCCCCCACTTAAAAATAAATAAAAAAAGATAATGGCTACTACACTCAAATTTTTTTAATCCTGATATGTAAAAGTGTTTCTTTCATTTGTTTATTTTTCCACAAAGCTTGGCATGAAGCAACATGACAAAAACAAGTGGAATCTAATGACAGCATTACACAAAAACAAGATTAATATTATAATGAGAATTTTTTTTAAAAATAAAAATTCATTTGACAAAAATAAACATAAAAATTGATATTTTAAAATTTTCAAAAAATATTTTTACCTTAAAAAATTATATAAAAGAGCTTCCTTTTTTTTTTCTTGAATTCATTTTCTACCAAATTAAAAAAAAAAAATTTAATTTCAAATTTTCAATAAAATAAAAATTCATAGGACCCACCAAAAATTCGTCCTATATGGTTTCAAAAGGGAAAATGTTTGAGGACCACAATTTTTGTGGTCACAATGGCTCAAAACTGTCAAAACAACGTCGTCGTTTTGACAATTTTGAGTCATTGTGGTCACAAAAATTGTGACCCTCTAGCATTGGTGTTTCAAAAGTCTTCAATTATTTGAAGTGAAATTAAAGACTTGTGCAACAAAGTGCAGGAATTAAAAATATTAGATTTTTAAAAAATTATTACAATATTCTAGTCAATATTTGCAGTGTGTAGTATGTGATTCATACAGTTCTATACTCATGCGATGCGAGTATTGTATAAATCTTTTTATAATTTTATTTTAAATTCCTACTATTCATTGAAAACAATTTATGAATTCAATCCGTATAAAAAGTACACTTTCAAGTTTATGGATTCAAATTTCCCGTTTGTTTGGAGTTATGGGGAGGAGATTGGGTTTGACAGTGAGGAGGGGATTGAAAACACCTTAGACACGTGAGTTTAACTGGGATTGAGTAATAAGTTATACCTCGTAATTTGGTGTTTTTCCGTAATTGTGAACTAGCACATCACCCGTGCTATGCACGGATTGTGTTTACAACTATCTATATATGTGAATTGCGATTTTTAAATATCTTTTTTTTAAAATGTTTTCTTTTTTTACTTTTTTATATTATATTAAAGTTTAATATTTTGATAATAATCATATGTGTTAGACTTTTCAAA